ATTTGCGATTGTTAGTTGGGCATCCCTCGCAGCTGTTGGAGAATTACGACATTTTTCGGATAAGTTACCACCATACTGCTGCAAATACCGTACCTCCAACGTGTTGTACCCGAATACAACTGCTAACAAGAACAGCGACTCCCTTATCGCAACGAAAATATATTTTGAGCAGCTAAAGTCTGCTTGGGACTAACTCTCACACTTCTTCACCTACAGTGGTCGGATATTTTGCCATTTTATACCAAATAGATAGGGAGGAAATTTGTCTTAATGTGCATATAGTTGCTTCACTGCTGCCTCATGCTACGTTTGCTTCCTTTGCTCGATTTCATGTCATGTGCTGAATCCGCAGCTAACAAACAGTTTACCAAATCCGAGGTACCGACCAAATTACATCGAAACCAAAATTTGCAAACAATCATGAGTCTTCCCGTGCAAAAGATTGTCGGGGTGTAGATTTATGCCATATATGTCATACCATGTTGCCATTCAGAAGTACACACAAATTAATTGTTTTTGACCATTATTCGTTTCGAGTTTGCTTTTATGCCTTTTTTCACATATTTGTGCCGCCTTTTGTAAAATTAGACTGCAATCAAGATGAAGATTTATTGCAGTCGTAGTTGATAATTACGAGAGAATGGATTCCATAACTTACCGGATACTAACTACTTTCTATACTTCATGCAGTTCAACCTTCCAAGCGTTTCCAGACCCCAGAATGGATACTCAACATGCTGAAAACTTCAGACTCGTTACGCTATACTGAGTCACGACTTTGAATATGAACTCTGCGTTTTACCGTAAGGCTTTTTTTCATAAGTTATGCCAGGTAAACCGCAACGGCGTTTTTTAGTGTTTTTCGAAATGTTCAACTTATTTGATTGGATAAAAAACTCGTAAAAGTGGCTTAACGAAATCAACATGTGAAAACTCTGCAACACAACTTTTCAACTTTGAAATTTTTTCTACAAACGGCCTTTTTCACAATATCGTGTATGCTGGAAGTTCTCCTCCGTGACCTTACAGCAATTGAGTTGGATCGGTAATCGCAATGCACTCTAAATCTATGAAGTCACTTCCACAGAATGGTACCTGGTGCTATGCCAAAAGCTCTGTGGGAAGGAAAATATTGTGGCTTAAAAAATGATTACTTATCGTTTAGGGATTCAAGGAGCTACGCGAACTTACGTCTAATGGGACCCTCCGACTTTCGATCAACGACAAAGGAGGCGAATTTGTTATCATGCCCCAGACACTGGACCGTGACATTACCGAATATCACTTATTCGGTGATTCCGTATATCGTCGCTCAACAGAGAAAGAATTTCTTTCGCAATGCAAACGGCTGAACCATATGTGACTGGATTAACAAGCAAGCCAGTATAGAAGAAAGGTTCCTCAGTTGGCTCAAGATTGAAAATCCGATCTGCCCTGTCTTCTACAGCCTCGTTAAAACGCATAAGCTCTCGACCGACCCACGAAATGTGTCAGCTGCAAATTGTAAAATTCGACCAATCATCAGTTGCGTTGGAGGGCCGACAGACAGAATTGCATGGTTCCTGAACAAGATTGTCAGCCAACTCTTAAGTACGATACCCTCTCATCTGCCGAATACCACTCTCTTCCTTGAACAATTACGCAATACGAATTTCGATCAGCATTGTGTAATAGAGTCTCTTGATATAAAGTCATTATACACAAATGTGTCCAATAATGACGCCTTACAGGCACTTTCTGAGCTCCTCGATTCACATATCACAAATATGGAAACCTACGGACTCAGTAAAGCACGCATCATTACTCCTGTCAAGGAATGCCTTGGATATAATACCTTCAGATGGGCAGGCAAGTATTATCAACAACTGAAAGGGCTGGCGATGGGGCAAAGACCAGCTCCGGTCCTTGCTATCTGCTTTATAAGCAGATAGAAGAGCCCGTAATGACGCGACCTCCCCTTTTGTACTGCCGCTATATAGACGATTGTTTCATTGTCACATCGACTCAGTCCGAAATGGATGAGTGCTTCAAGATCCTCAATGAACAATCGCAGTACATTTGCTTGACCAGAGAAGAACCACACGATGGCTGGCTACCCTTTCTCAACACACGGGTAATGTTGGCTAAAGGCGCTGTACAGATTAAATGGTATCGGAAAGAGAGCGGCAAGAACATCATTCTGCACGCGACCTCTGCTCATCCAACTGCCGTGAAACGTGCGGTTATCCGCAACATGTTCAGAACAGCAAGCAGATATGCAGCGGCGAAAGTGAAAGACTTGAGTCTCTAAAAATGGCGCGCGTCATCGTTTCCAACAACGGATACCCACTGCAGCCCAAAACCTCCAGAACACGCATGAGCGTAAGCAACCGAAGTCGAACACGCATTCCTTTGTGCTTGCCGTTCATATCCGACAGAGTGACCAATGCAGTTAAAGGCACCGTCCACCGAAAATGGAGGTTGGCGAGATTATGATGGCATACTAGTGTGGGTCCCCATACTAGACAAACCTCCAAGCTTCGCCGCAAAAGACTGCTTCTGGAGCGAGAAATCCGCTCCGGAAGTAGCAAAGTGGGCGCCACTTGCATGCTTTATCTCGCCTGCGCTTGTTGTGAAGGGTTCTCGAAACAGGGATTTTTGGGGTTTTTTTTGGGATTTCGACTCCATATTCGGAATCAGGGCTTTCAGAAGGCCTGAAGGCGACAAAAACATTGAATTCGAGATTTTGGGTGGACGGTGCCTTTAAGCGATGTATAGCGCAAGCGCAGTTGGAGGATGATTTTGTCTTAGTAAATATACCACAAGACAGCATCAGAAAACAACTGGTTCGAAATCGTTTGTACGACAAAGCTTGCAAGTCGCAGTTGCGTTGTGTGCACAAATGGAAGGTCAGGGGATTGCTCGCGAAGTGGTCTAGTTTTTCAGTTGGAATGTCAAACATGCCGGCTATTTACATCGATGAGACAGGTCGACCACTTTCAGTGCGTGTAAATGAACATCTGGCCAACAAACGAAGACAGAGCCTCGTGAGCCCACTGGGAAAACATAGGAGGGAAGACCATGAAGGCGAAGATTTTGAAATAAGTTGTAACATACTGGCAGTCGAGGATAACATCTCAGCTCAGAAATCGTTGGAAGCCGCATACATTCTTGCTCGAAATCCGAAAATGAATACAAAGAATGAACAGTTGTCGATAACAAATGATCTTAGGCCGTTCCTATCATTTTGCGGTTTTTAGATAACCTACAGCTACATAAACATGTCCAACTCAGCTGGACTGTTCATTGTCACTATATTTTGTAGGCGACTGAAAGAGCTTTTATCGTGCTCTTCTGTAGAACTCTTGGTAAGTTGACTCGGGTGGAAGCTAGATTCCGATCACTTTAGACGAATCAAACGTACGAGTTGGCTAAGGCGTTTGATCGCTTAAAGCGTTTGATGAAAGTGATTGAATTGCTTTCAGGCCTTTGAGGACGGCGTTTTTTTCCGCCGAAACGTAAGGCTCAATAAAGAGTTGCGATAAAGACTTGTTGTGGCATAGAAAAAGTTAAACGATGTACTATCAACATGCCAAGGTTCAAAGAAGGGAGGAGTTATAAAATGATTACTTACTTTTGGGGCGCCCTGCATATAAGAACTCGGGTACTTCCGTTTAAAAGCTGTATATTTGCATTGTTTATTGAAATGCAGTAAAGACATGACTTATTTTACTCTGCGACCAAAACAGCGTAGTTCGCCCGTTGATAATAGAGAAAACCAAACAAAGGGTGGGACCAAGGCGAATGGGCTAAACCATGCGTACCTCGGTTAATTCGTTGAGCTCACCCTAGCTCCTCTAAGGTGTTGCTTTCGGTATACTGCATTAAATCCTATTGCTCTGAGCAAATTGATGTAGGAGGGTGAGAGCAAGGCGAATGGGCTAAACCATGCGTGCCTAGGCTAATTCACTGAGCTCACCCTAAGTACTCCTTAAGCAGTCGTAAGCAGAATGATGTGAAATTATCTGAGTGATCAACAGTAGTAAATTTCTGCCATAATTAGCGATAAGAGTAAAAAAAACGTTTGGTAGAATCAACCTGAGATGTAAGAGATCAGAAGTAAGTAAATTCGTATAGTGTGTCTTGTGCGGTCCTTCATAATAAAGCGGCATCAGAGTAGCTAAAACAACAGAACTCCAAACGCAATATAGTGAAGACTGATGAGAGAGTTGACCAAATAAGATGAAGTTTAAACTGAAATAATACGTTTTTAAAAACGTAAATGTAATTTATCACCTTCGGTCAATTTCATCAACTTAGCCTTAAAGGATCGTGCATCGCGTGAAGCAATTAAATCCTTGGGCAAGAGCTGAAACCAACGTGTGATCCTACAAAACAGATTGTTATGCATTTTATCCTTATTGTATCTCATAATCTTGACATGATGAAGGTTGAAGCCTCCCAATCTCTGACTAGTTGGCATAAAAATCCAGTATTTACTTGCTTTTAGCTTGGTTTCTCCTCTAAGCACTTGAAAACAAAAAATAAGGTCAGAGATATTACGACGAAAGGAGAGACTTTGTAGATTTAGCTTTTTTAGTCGTACTTCATAAGCAGGAGGGGCATTACTAGGAGTGACTCTTCTGTACAAAAGACGTGTAAAAGTTTTTTGTACTTTTTCAAGTTTCTCGATGTCCTTCTTTCGATTGGGGTTCCACACCTGGGAACAATATTCTAGGTGGGGACGAACTAGAGATTTGTAGAGACGCGTCAAAAGAACAGGTGAATTAGTTTTTACACTCCGAAAAAGAACAAACAAGAAAGTATAAGCCCTCCTAATAACAGCATCAATCTGCTCAGAGAACTTGAGCTTCGAATCAATAATGACTATTGTTTGTTGTACCAACAAAATAACTATTTAATCAATAAACATTTTTTCAAACTTCACATTTTTTTGAACGTTGATGACTTGAAACACATCAGATGTTTTTGTTGATCTGTAAGCTCAAAGGACTCCTCCCCTATCCTCCCCACCCTTTCTTCTTTCTGTTGTCATCCAAATAAGCCAGTTTCAACTCACACTGCTAAGTAGACATTTGATACTTCAAATATTATTTGACCAACATGATCACCTTCACCAAATACCAGGAAAGGAGAAGTGGCAAATGGGGCGCCGAGCAGTCCCCACACAGAAAATATGACAGACGAGTAAGTAAGCCACTTGAAAGGATTGTAATAAATTTCTTTTGGAGTGATAAAATGCAGGACTTACTCTTGTCACTCTTATTCTCAGCCAGTTGAAATTTTATGATCAGTGTGTAACTCATCGGAGATCGACCAGTATCATTGACTAAATCGCGAAGTATGGACGCATCACGTCTGTTAACCATTTTGAGAGCCATTGAAGAGATAATAGATACTGATAAAGTGAGAAGAGTGAGGAGTATTATGGCATACATCCCTAAAAGCGACGTTCTTTATACTGTACAACGGTGTTTTGTGGTTCAAATAATACATGTCGTTTTCCATTGGAAGTGATACGGCTAGAAAGTATCGAACGCCAGACAGTGAGAACAGAAGTATCAGCAATCCAAGACAGATTCCTTTTTTGTTCGCTTTAAGATTTTCAAGACACTTCTCATACTGTTGGTCACTCACCGAAAAAGAACATTTGGATAAGTAGATAGTATAGCATAGCGAGCAGCAGCGACACTGCATTCAACGAAAGAGAAATCCATCTACGGGTTGGGCCAGACTGCGCGGCGTACGCGACGTACGCAGCGTACGCCGCGTATGCTCCTATGATGAAATATACCGAGCGTACGCTGCGTACGCCGCGTACGCCGCTTTCCCGCGAAGTCTGGCTCAACCCTACGATTTACATGCTCGTAATCACTGATGTAACGTGAAGCAAGCAATCTCTCGGCAACTATAGCAGGAATTATCGTTAACATGGTACATAACGGAACAAATCTCATGAAGAATAAGACATATAGTAGTCGATTAACTGAATCTGAAAGTTCAAAAAAGTTTGCTACCCTTCTATCATTTCTTTCTCAGCGGATACAAAATTTGGAAAAAAAACGAAAACTTGCATTTATTACGTACCATTTCTTTGCACAATTTCAACGTCGTATAAAAATATCAGTATTCGCATACACTGTGATATTGTAAGAGCAATGAGATGTGCCTTAAAGTTTAGTTGAAACAGTCATAAATTGTGAAATATGCTCTCGCCTTTGGACTCAGACGGATTAATAGTGTTTAGCGTTTCCAAAATGTTTCCAAGTAATGATCTTACTTGTAACACAATTACATTTTAAAACGCTCCTATTCCAAATCTATTTTGACTTGAATATATGGGAGACCATTTAACTCTATTATATCAATTAAAAAAAGGAAACTGGAATACTGCAAATTATGAGATTATTTGCACGAAATTTTTAGGAATCCACTTTACTGTTCAGGGATGTGATTTGTGACATTGGCAAGAAGTCAGCTACAGCAACCTTTGACAGCTTTTCGCACGATTTTGTTGAGATGCAATAACAAATGCTAGCAAAACGCGTTGATAAAGCTCTTTGTTAACTAACTGATTGGTTACATTATCTGAGAGCGACCTTCATTTCCGCTGAGGTATGATGAATTTAAGTTCCAGGTTAAAGAGCTGCTTTTAATTACCGTATGTCGATAGTCGAGCTGTAGGTCCAGGGAAGTTGTACAAGAAATTTTTTCGCAATAATTAGCGACGAACTGCTAATACGTAGACCAAATGTTCGTAATTCTTTAACGCTATACGTAACTGCAACCCTTTATGCCCACCCTTATCCACTGCCGTTTCGTCTGTGTCTAGGCAAATCCATATTTGTAATGGTTTCTACAATGCCACATCAATTTTTTTTGTTATGAAAGTTTGGCTACAAAACTCGTAGAAAAAAGGAAGATAGTGGAGGGAAATATGAAATCTACTATGTTCCTGATCAGATGTAAATTTTTTGCTCACTACAGTAACTTGACCCCTCAACATTTCCTTTGGGACATTTCCTCTGACCCTGCTGCCTGTCGGGGTTACTGTAACGCCGCGTCGCGACAGTTTCATTTGACACTCACAGGTAATGGGCGCACCCCTCTAGGCAATGCTACGTAAAGAAGTAATACGTAGTCGTTGGGCCTCACTAGCGCTTATACAACCCGAGCTTGTGACGTGAACGCTGGTGCGTGCTTTGTTGCAAATGTCTCTGCAGGACCATACTTTTAACGAAGTGTCCTCTTCGCTGCGTGCAAGCAGATCGCTGTACCAAGCAATCAGTAAAAGCCAAGTACCTTTTGATTCAACGGGATTGGCGGCTGGAAGGCGGGGTTCGAGGCCTAACTAAGGCTAGAGAATGATTAGAGAGTAGCTCGTGAGAGAGATGAGACTGCGTTGCGGGGCAAGCGATCGCCTTCCGACCGCCAATCTCTTTGAATCAAAGCGTATCATGTCCAAGAAGCAGGAACTTTCGAGATTTGCGCACTAATGCGAAATCGCGCAATAGGGATTAGCGGAGGGTTGGAAACTTTGCGACGTACGCACCGTACGCACGCATGCATAAAGATACGGGGAGTACGCCCTGTACTTCGAGTACGCCGCAAATCTGGCCTAACCCTAATATAGTGAAAAAGTAGGAACTTAGGATTCTGCCCAGCCAAAACTCATTCATACTGAGATTCCTACGATTAACATTTCCACAAAGCTGCTTTGCTACACAAGCACATGTGGAACAGACAAAGGTCTTCTGATTATGAAATAAAAATACGCTGCACTTGAGTGGAAATCGTGTTTGTCGGCTGTTCAAAGATGTCAGAATTAAGATGAAAGTGGCCGCTTTAATTTTGAGCAGTTGCGAAATAAAGCCGAGTAAATTACCTGTGCTACTCGTATAAGATTTCCATGAAGAAACCGCACGGTTTTTTTCAAAGCATAAAACAGTAGCAGCGCTCCTGGACACATTAACATAATAGCAGTCACTTCCGTATAATATAGCAAATATAGAGACGGCCATGTGAAGAAGATCTCCTTTGACGGGAATATGGCAGGAATGAAAAGCGGTATCCTATCTGCAAAGAGGAACAGCATTCGAAACAACGCAAGCGCAGTATGACCATCATGTCATACGCCTCGGAAGGCAATATTCGCATTTTACATCATAACTTGGTTGAAAGATTAGCAAGAGATAAATGAAGCTTGGGCAAGCTAGACTGCTCGCAAGTAATCATAACATCAAAGCACTCATTGAAAAAATCTCTTCAAAATGTGGCAGGCAAGCTTGACACTTTTAATTTCTGAGCGCAAATCGCAAAACTCGAGTGCAGCTGCGGTTAGAAATTAACAAGCTTCTCAATTAGATCACCCATGATTTGCACGAAAATCTTCGGAATGCACGAAAAATGGCCGTAGGAAGAAAGTTGTGAAAATTTTATGGTTGGGAAGATTTTTCTATCTGATGTGCATATCAAACACGTCTTGGCATCGATAAAAATCAGAAGCCGTATTGAAAACTTTAGCTTTCATCTACAGAACAGTATAAAGAATTTGGTGTCAAAATCCATCCGAACGCCGAAAAAATGCGTTTGAAAACGAAATCTCCAAAAGTGCCCGGGAACTTTCTTTACAACCTAATACTTTGTGAAAAAATAGATTCTCTCCAATCATTACCATATAAAATGCAAATACCGTAATCTTCACCCCGTCTATTGTTTTTCTGTAGAAAATGCGAATGACGCTGTACTGTAGAGATTGCGATGACTGAGTTTGAGTTTATAATGCCGTTGCTAATGAAGTAGTAAAAGCAGAATGGTTTTGGAAAGAGCACTTTAGAGTTCAAAGTATTACTATGGTACTTTCGTATTTCATAATCTGCTTGCTACAAAGATGAACTTTCAAAATTGAAAGACTTAGGCGATAGGTCAGCTTTCTAAGGTTTCAGTAACAATAAGGTACTGCGAAATCCAGAATATCTCTCAATTAAGCGAGAAATCATTTTATTCCGATTAGGCACACTTTTGGTAATAATGAATTGTGTACGTCATATACTATTGGCACCAACAAAATGTGGTAGGCCTAATTGAAGGGCGTTAACTATTATAGCTTTACAAAGATCACAAAGTACCGTGTTGACTTCTTGAGACTTCATGCTGTGATAAACTCGAATGCCTAGCCACAATACAGTATGAAAGAAGCTTTGCGGAGCGAAAATGTTTACGTCTGCAAAGATGCGGAGGCAGACTTACAATAGATCACCCATTCAGGAAGTGAGTTGGAGAGCAGGAATTACCGAGTTATTTTTGCAATTCATTTTAGATAGGTTTCGACGATTCTTTAACCAAAAACCATTGCGTTTTCAAGATTGCGTTGGTTAATATCGCTCTCTCTGCTTTGTACTAAAACTGATATTTTCAAGAAACAGATTTCATGCCTACTTTGAGCATGCTATGAGCCATCGCAACTAGTCTAAGTTGAACTTACAACGCCTAAGTGTATTACTCGTGCCATCGGTGAGGATGCGAAACGCTCGGTAGACCTGATGAACATTTGCGTTTTCAAAGTGCGATTTGTCGAATGGGTGAATTGCTGCGAGCAAGAGAGCAATCTTTCAAGACCGGCATATGACACATTCTTGCTGCGTGGGGGAAGAATCCTTCACGAGGGTCACTTATCGGAAAATCAATGGTGGCGAGAACGTGGAGCATATAAAAAAGCAAGAAAATTTTTACTCCCCATCGATTCAGAATTAAACACAATGAAAACAATAAAAAAATAAATACTATACTGAATACTATGCTGACGAGCAAATTACGAAGCTTTTAACTGATTTTTCGCTTTTGCACACTATGTAAGTCACTTCAGCTTACGACCTACCTTCAACTTATGGGCAGTACGGTTGAATGATCGTGGCACTTAACCAGTCCTCTGAGTGTTTAAATTGTCATCTCAAAGATCGACAGGTGGGCAATCCATGAGAACACTTACGAAGTTCTTCTGAGGAAGCCAGCTTATTTTGAACGGGCTTTGCTACAGGACTCTGCGTCGAAAGCGTCGAGCCGAAAAGGGCTATAGTCCCAATAATCGGGGGCAGTATTTATCAATCTCACACTCGCTGTTTGGCCCATTATTAATGAGTGCCTGGACAGGCGAGAGCGCCATCCGCCATGATTTGTGAAAGTTTGGGGCGCATGGCCCAAACGTGCAACTGATCTCAATCTGTCGAGATCGGGAACGATCGGGCACCTGCGCCCGAACATAACCAATCTTGTCAGATCGGACCATAACTTCAAAAGGAGCCCGATCACCAGCTTGATGTCGTGGATCGCGGGCAGCAGGGCCCGGCCTGTACGGGCTGTGACTACAGGAACCCCTTCCCATATAGAAAACTGATAAATACCATTCCGGATATTGATACAAGGTGCTCAAACATATCGCAATCACGCAAAGCAACATAAACAACAGCAGGGAATGCTTGTACTACGAAAAAAGCCTAATGACGTTTCTCTCTCTTCACTGCTCCAATGAAGAATTTCTATCATAAAATGTAGGCTGAAAGTCGTATTTAATGCCGCATGCCTGAACATCCCCGAGGGAAGCGAAGATCAAACATGAGCTTCATATCTTGTTGCTCGAGGGATTGACACCATTTGGATGTACTAAACATCGAGCTCAACAGTGCTAGGACTTTTATCAAGAACAATTGAAATATTTAATAAAAATTGTTATAAATCAGAGCTCGAAACCTGAAATGACTCTGAACGAAATTTGGCTGGCCGCTATCATCGAAGACTATAAAAGCAGATAACGCAGCTTGTAATATACGTTTCTGTCCATCGAGTTTATGATAAAAAGTATTAAAACAGTTGGAGATGGATAGATAGCGTGAAAATAGATGTTTTTGATTTTCAGTGCTTTTTTTCCAAGCTGCGTTCCCCTCCCTATATCCCCCCCCCCTTTATTGGCAGGGCTCAGTACGAGGTAGATCTGACATTTCTTTTGAAATGAAGTTCATGACATGCTCATGACGGAACAAGCATGAGAAAAGAGGAACGCCCATAATCGGCCGCGGAACTGGTGGGGAAACTGAGCCGCGCCCCAGTGCCAATCGATTGGAGCATGTTATCCTTCCCGCACTTGGAGTATCTGGATGGACACATAGAAATTTTTCATAGTGACTCTCCTCATTGTCTTGTTTTGCGGCAACGATACAGCACAATGAAGTTGATGACTAACTAATCTCGGAATGTGCATTGTACAATGGGCGTTCCAGCAGCTGCAGCTCGTAACATCATAACAAGCTAGAAAAGTAAATAAATGTAGCAGTGTCAGAAACTCCATGCAGAAATGCGAGTTCGGCTGCCTGCTATATCAAGCGATTATACAACATGGAGCGATACGTTCGCAAACTAGATTCGTGGTATGGATGAGGCTAAATCGAGACCGCAAATGTATACTCCCTGCACTACAGGCACTCCACTTGCTGTGCATAACCTCTCGCTCATTAGTGCATGTTGCGAAATGTCTCGCAGAAGCCACTTCGCATCAAGCAGACTTAGAGGCCGGCAGACATGCAGAGTACAGCCCAGGACGATATTTACTTGTTCGGACGCATTCACGTTCGTTTTTTGCTGGTAGGATCGGAGCGTGCAATTGAAGTATGATCGTCTCCACGATTCGTGTAGAGGTGTATTGCAGACTTTGCCTGATAACACAGGTAAACTTGTTGAATCTCCACGTCATACCATTGTTTTTTGTACTCTCTCGCTATCAAAACACGAATCGTGGAGCCGATGATAAGTTTTTAGGATACATGCAGCAGAAAACCAAAACGTACGATCACAAACGCTTGTGAAAACAACACGAGTGCAGCAAATACTCCGTTTGGCACTGTGAGAACTGCAATGAAACTAATAAGGCATCTGAAGTGAGAAGCGAACTGAAGCTAGTTTGTAGGTGTTCAGAAGCATAAACACCCAAGACTGTTATCATAATGACTGAACTCGTTGACATAATTTGCCAGATGTTTCCGCTTCTGAATTCCCTATCGATGAAGTTAAGATGCTTCTCATGTGACCATAAAAACTGCATTTCTCTGAACCAAATGGCTTGGACGATAATTACCCACTGGTCTGACTAGAACCATTCGCTCTTTCATGCTGTGTGGATATACAATATGCGTAGATCTTTCTTATTCAAGATAACAACATGCTAAAACATAGGTTCACAACCGAAAACAGAACGACTGGTGCGTGACGTAAGATAAAGCATGAAGACATCAATTTGCTCAAAATAAGGAGGAATTAGTCCCAGATAAGACAGTGACAAGCAGAAACTTGTATTAGCAAGTTGAAAACTAAAAAACACTGCCTCAAGCTGTCAGTAAGAGTATGCTCTGTGGCAAGCGAAGTAAAGTCAAATTGTTTCACCATGCATGTGTCCATCCAGATACTCTAAGTGCGGGAAGGATAACGTGCTCCAATCGATTTACACTGGGGCGCGGCTCAGTTTCCCCACCAGTTCCGCGGCCGATTATGGGCGTTCAGAAAAGAGCAATAGAACAGAGAACAAAAACAACGTTGAACGGGAGATCAAGAAAATTAGTATGTTCGTATTTTGCAAATTGGCTGCCTATGTCCCGCACGCACCACCGCCTGCTTGGAGCAGAATTGCCGCTTTCGTTCGAATTTCTTGAAGGCAGTGTCCAAGCAGAAAGTCGATTTCCAGATTTTGTGCTTACCTGGGCCTATTCGCTATGCTGAATCCGAAAATCAGCACTTGAGAGCGCGAAAACGGCGAAAAAGGGCTATGACGGAGGAGCAAAATCGCAGGTGAGTGGGGCCCAAACTGTGACGTCACTCTCCCAGGCTTCAGGAGCGATATTCTCGATTCCGATTTTATGTCATGCGTTTCGCAGTGGCTGGTGGTGATGCTAGGGCGACTAGCGGAAGCAGGAAAATCGCTCCTGAAGCTGGGAGAGTGACGTCACTATGTAAAACAGCCCCGCCCACCTGCAAATTCCCTCCTCCGTTAGAGCCTTTTTTCGCCGTTTTCGCGCTCTCCAGTGTTGATTTTTGGATTCAGCATGGCGAATA